GAAGAGTACAGAAAATGTGGGCAAAAACTGGACAGGTGAAAGTTGGGGATATCGGAAATGGCTACTGTCAAGCCATCTTTGATACACAGCTTGACCACGATCGAGCACTCTACGGTGGACCGTGGACCATCGACGATCACTACATTGTGTCGGAGCCATGGAGGCTGGATTTTGATCCAGATTTCGATTCCATTGACAAGACCTCGGTCTGGATCAGACTGCCCCGTCTTCCTTTGGCTTACTTTGACGAAGAGATCCTCATGGATATTGGAAACAAATTGGGTCGTGTGGAGAAGATTGACTACAACACGGCAAATGGATTTAGAGGAAACTACGCTCGATTATGTGTTGAAGTGGATTTAAGGAAGAGATTGGTTTCGAAATACAGAATCAAGAGGCGTGTCAGGAGGATTGAATATGAAGGGCTTCATACCGTGTGCTTCGACTGTGGCTTCTATGGACACCTGGAGGATAAGTGCCCACTGAAAAATCAAGAGAGCTCACTAACTCCTGAGGACAGACTCAAGGTTAACATCAACTCAAGCGTATCACAGGAGGTTAGGCCGGAAATCATGGAAGATTATGGACCATGGATGTTAGCAACAAGAACTAAGAGAGCTAAACCACAACAGCAAAACAGAAACCAGAATGCATCGTCAAAAGAAGCAGGGGACTCCCTTAAGAAGGATAACAAAGGCTCCAGATTCAATGTCTTGAGTGAGCAAATGGAAGGGGAAAATGTGGAGGAAGAGGAAGATGGAGATGGTACTACCAGGGAAGAAGTTGAGCAAAGTCAATCCAAGGAACAAAACAAGCGGACAGAAGGGGCGTTGAAGATTGACCCTACTGGCTCGAAGGAGGTAAGCCGTAATGAGAAGAAAGGGAAAAGCAAGGAGAATCAAGGAACAGGGAAAGTACAAGAGAAAACCAAGGAACAGAAACTACATGAAAGGAAGGAAAACCAGAAAATCTCACCAGAAACCATCAAACAGAAAGCAAAAACAGTGGAGACAATCAAGAAGAACATGCCTGCAACTTCAAACATGAAAAAGGAAGGACAACACCAGATGGGAGGAGAAAAAGCACCTGCTACTTCAAAGACAACACCAGGGAAGAAGAGTAAGGAAACATCCTCAAACTCCAAGAGTAGTAAACAGGCAAGCGACAAAATACTCATGGAGGATGCTAAATCAGGCCACCAGCCCAAAATAAAGGATCCATCGCCAGGGAAGGGACTTAAGGAAACTGGAAAGAGAATGGAGACTGCCCAAGAAAGTGGGAGTGGAATTCCCAGGAAGATTGTCTATAGCAACAACCTGGAGAATGATGCAAAAGCACCTGAAAATGTACAACCTTTCACTGCAGCAGAACAAAACAGATCTGTTGAAGAGAAGGGAACGGCTATGGCCGTGGGAAATTGAAGACCTTTGATTGAAAGTCATCCAGGGAAGTTTTCTTTTATCCACTCTTATGGTTAAAGTCTTCTCTTGGAATTGCAGGGGTGCAAAGCACCCCAAATTTCTGCCTACTTTTAAGTTGTATAAAGATAATCACAAACCTGATATTGTGTGCATTTTAGAACCTAGGATTAGTGGAGAAGAAGCCATTAGTGTGATCAAATCACTAGGATTTGACTCATGGAAGGTTTCTGATGCTACTGGTTTTAGTGGGGGGATCTGGATCCTCTGGAATGACAGTAACTTGGAACTTGAACTTCTTGATAAACACAAGCAATTTATCCACATGAAATGTTTCACTGATGGAAAGCCTAGTTTTTGTTTTACTGCTGTGTATGCCAGCCCTAATGACCATGATAGAGTTGATCTATGGGATACGCTTAGGATCTTTGAGAGTAGTTCTAACCTTCCTTGGCTCCTTACAGGAGATTTTAACTCTATTTCTCGATCATGGGAAAAACAAGGAGGTGCTGCTTTCAACTTTGCAAAGACTAGAGCATTCAACAACTGCATTGAGGATTGCAAACTGTTGGATCTTGGCTACACTGGACCACACTTTACCTGGTTCACTAAAGCCTCTAGGTTGAAGGAAAGATTGGATAGGAGCCTATGCAACACTGAATGGCAGCAGAAATTCCCCAAAACAACAGTGTTCCATCTCCCTAAGATCAAATCAGACCACAGACCTATCCTCACCAACACTATGGATGAAAAAAGAAACCAGAACCAGGTGAGAAGGTTTCAGTTTCTGGCTTCTTGGCTTGCCCATGAGAACTTTCTCCCTTTCCTCTCCTCCTCCTGGACTACTGGCTGTGAGTTTCCTGTCTCTTTGCAGAAATTCAAGGAAGAACTGATGACATGGAATAAAGAAGTGTATGGGAACATTTTCAAGAGGAAGAAACAGCTCCTCCATGAACTCAACTCTCTGGAAATGTTGAATGGAAGAAGGCCTACCACTAGTTCATTGGAGAAGGAACAAAGCACAAGAGAGGAACTGGTGAATTTCTGTGTTTAGTATGTCATATGTATAAGTAATTTAGTTAATAAAAGAGGATAATCATGTCATTCTATTATAATTAGTAAATACTTGTGGAATTCATTTGGAAATTCTATCTCAAATCCTCAGAATTGCTATAACTAGTTCCAATTCCGTAGAATTCAAATTTTAGAATTAAAAATGAATTCTTTTTAATACCAAACACAAAAATATTTCATTTCAAAATAAATTCTTCAAAACTTATGGAATTCATTTATACTAAACTGTATGTTAAAGAAAGATACATATGCTTCATGGAGCACTTTTACTATGCTATATAACATTGATGCTTTAATGTATAACTTGAAGTTGTACCCAGTAGCGGACTCAGGATTTGAAACTACCTCTGTCCTCTTTTCATAATACAAATATATAATTATTTAATTAATAATAAATAAATAAATACAATTAAAACTAATTATATCCAAATAATTCATTCACATATAAAAAATAATCGACTAATAAAATCATTGTTTTCATCGGCAACCACGCCGAAATTTCATATTGCAAAAGCAACACAAAAACATTTGTTGTCTACACTGTTAAGTAAGTTTCTTTTAATGTATCACACTAAACAATCATTAGCAAACTGATCGCCAATTCGACTTCGAAACTTGTTATGAATTTAACTCAAAGCTGAAAATGTTCTTCCTGCACTTGCAGTTGCAAATTGGTAGAATCAAAACTAGTGGAATTGTTGTTGTCGCGGAAAAATTTCAGGATTGTTGGGGAAAAACGAATAGAAATAAGGAGAAAAAAGATTTGATTAGGTCTTCATTGCAATTAAAAGTTTGTTTATAGTATAATAAATTAATTTTTATGTCAATTTATGAACAACGAATGAGTTGTGTTGTATTGATAAAATACTCTAATACCACCTTTAATTATTTGTTCCATCATCAATATAAATATATATGAGTATTTTTTTCACTCCGAAATTTGCCCCTGTCTCGTGACAAGGGCTAATGCCCCTGCCTCCGCCTATGGTTGTACCATAAATGTACAAGTTCAAGTTGTACCATAAAAGAATTCGTACAAAAAGTATAGGTACATGAAGTTGTACCATAACATTAAATGTACAATTTTAAGTTGTATCATAAAAGCAAAACCTATAACACCAATACTATATAGCATTGTCAAATTCCTCATCCTTCATGGGTTTAACATGCTTAGTAAAATAGATCATTTAGATAAGGATTCCAACAGGGTATCATGCACAAAATAATGTGAGCAGTTGATGAAATTTGAGTTCAAATCCTCATTTTCCATTGGAATTGAAGAACTCATAGTCTCTGCTAATCTTCTTAATTCTCAGGTTTTATGCCAAATTAATATCTATGATAATTTTACCTTAACTTACACAGTTTTTAGTTTCTCTATTGAAACGCTCATTTTGAAGACATCTATTAATACTTTTTTTTTTAACAGCCATAAATACTCTCTTACAAACAACCCATAAATTGCTTCGGTTTAAACAATGTAACAATTGTGATTCTCGATAGTCAAGTTGTCTAGACGGTGTATTTGTAAATATGAAGAATCACCAAAAGCATTGCATTCATTCCAATAGATAGTATTTTGGTATATAAAAGCCTGAGTTTAGTATTTATTATTCATTAAGTGATTTTTTTACATAATTTTGGCGAGCCATTTATCATGGAGATATTTATACATGACAAAGTTATTTATCCTGTTTGGAGCCATCACATAATTTTGTCTTATTTATCCTATTTGGTTAATTTGTATTGGTCACATATGGGAACATTTACAGTCCATTTGCTTATTTTGTCCTTTTCTTTTTCCTATCCTGGAACAAATATTTTGTTCTTATTTGGTTTTGTACAGGTTACTCATCTCACTCGCTCGGCCTCGAATAGAGAGAAAACAAAGAATTCTCTCACTAATTTAGCATGACAAATGTGATATCGAAACCGATGGAACCATATGTTATGTTTTTTATTTTCCTCTGTTTTGGTTATTTTTCCCACATTCTTTATTTTTCTTCTCTTTTTCAAATTAAGTGAGAGTGCTAGGTTAATTCTGAGTTCATCTTTTTGTTTATTGGGCTGATAAAAAAAAAGCATAATCACTCATTTTTTGTTCCTTTCCATTCCAAACGTAGAAATTTCGTAAATTCTCTAACTAATAGTTGTAGAACTCCAACCAAACAAGTTCTTAGTTAATAATCTGTTAATCGTCCTCCTGTGATCTATAACATCGTTGGTCAACGAGTTCAAATTGCAATAGAACTCTTCTACAATGTTTTTTCCCCCTGGTTTTGTAGTTGTCTTATAAGTTTCATTTAGCTAGTTCTTTTACACACCTTTATAGCATTATCTTTCACTCACAACAACAAGCAAGCTAGGGGTCTTATCCAGTATCATATGATGATACTTAATAAGGGGTCGTTTGCTTCATGGATTTAAAAATGAGGGTTTTGTAATTTAAAAACCCAAGGATTTATCAAGGATTTGAGGCATCATGAATTTGTAACAATCCTTTGTTTAGCACGTTCTTTCAGTGGCATCCGAAAAAAAATTAGAATAACAGAGAAAAGATTTCATGATACCAAAGCAAACAACTAAAGTAGATATACCACCAATTAATCCCTTGTCTCTTCATGTTATTATGCCTCCTCTTCTGCTACAACCAAAATATCCCTTTTCGTTTATCTATTCCTTGGTTCAAATTCTCAAGCTAAAAAATCAACAGTACTTCCCATCTTACTACTGCATCGCATTCGCAGCTACCCTCAGATCGATGGTGTGCTTAATTTGCTGCTCGCTGCTTGATCCGACCGTAATCACATGTTTCCCGGTCACCAATTTCCTCGTCCCTGCACTATCAGCAACACTCATCCTCTTGCACAATTTTATCCCAAAACTCACATTCCTCTTCTCCCCTTGCTTCACCTTCACTCTCTTGAACCCGACCAGCTCCTTGTTTGGCTCCCCGTTCACCTCCGTTGAGCTCGGCGGCCTCCAGAAGATCAGCACCACGTGGTCTCCCGTCATGCTCCCTGTGTTGCTCACTTCCACTACCAGCTTCATGTTCAGCTCGTTGCAGTTCCTTACGGCGGACACATCAATGGCTTCCCCGCTGTGGTTGCGGCTTGTGGGAGAATTCAGTTGTACAAGGAAACCAGAAGGAGCAGAGATTATGGACTTGGTGAAGGTCGAGTAGCTGAGGCCATGGCCGAAATCGTAGACCGGGTTTCCGGTGTAGAACCTGTAGGTTCTTCCGGGGAAGTTGGGAAAGGTGTTGGCTCTCATGTTCATGTTTGACATTGGGACTTGCTCTGTATACTCCTTTGGGTACCATGTGAACGGCGACCTTCCAGCTAACACAGCACAAAAAGTTGACGCTTCAGAAACAAAATGAAACAATTCTATTTTTGCAAAGATTAACATACTTGGAACTTGGAAGCCTTACCAGGATTGTAGTCTCCAAATAAAACTTGCGCAATGGCATCACCTCCACCCTGTCCAGGGTATCCCACCCACAAAATCGCACCAATTCTGTTGTCGTTCTTGGCAAACGCGATATCCATTGGACCACCCGACATGATCACAAGAACCACCACACCGTTTGTTGCAGCAACAACACTGTTTATAAGTTGTTCTTGGTATCCAGGAAAAGTTAAGTTGTCCCTATCGACCCACTCTCCCTCCATAGTCTCATCAAGTCCCACGATCAGCACAACAACGTCAGCCGCAGCAGCCACCTCGACTGCTGCAGCAATTCTTGATTGGTTAGGGCAGCTCGCTGAAACACAACCGGCCTCATAGGTAACAGCTGACACATACTTTTGAAGCCCTTGTAGCGGTGTGGTGATGTTGCATGGCATACCAGCATAAACGCTTAGCAAGGTGATGGTGGCATTTCCATTTGGCCCAATAACAGCCAAGTTGCTTGTTTTATCCTTGGATAAAGGGAGGGCTCCTTTGTTTTCTAACAGCACAATCCCCTGCCTCGCCGCGTCAATCGCCAGCTGTTGATGATCATCTGCGCATACATCAGATGGTCCAAGGCTACCAAACTGGAGGGACTTTGGATTGCCATCGAAGAAACCAAGCCTCATGAGCACAATGTAGTTGTAAGTCAATGCTTGGTTCACAATCGATTCGTGTGTTTTGTTCAAATGAATAGCATTTTCTGTATAGTTTTGCATCACAATGCTGCACTCCATGCTTACGCCTGCACAAGAATAACAAAAATTCCAGTCCAGTTATTCATGAACAGGACAGATGAAGCGGTAACTGACTAACTGTGGTTCAAATTATGACAGTACCTGCTTTTAGTGCAAGGGCCACTGCATCTTCTGGTGTGGGTGTGTAATTACATTTTAAGTAAGTTTGAAGAGCCTGACAGTCTGTCACTATGTATCTGACAAGTAGCAGCATACACGATCACACTAAAGAATAGAAAAGAATAGAATTGCGGATTGACAATCTAAATTGATTAACATGAACAAGAACTTCAACCAAGTAACTAACCCGTTAAGATTCCATTGGTTTCTGACAACTCCTTGAAGCAGTTGAGTGTCAAAGCAACTAGGAACGCCGTTCACCCTGTTATAAGAACACATCACACAGCTGGCATGTCCTTCTTTCACACAACTTCTAAATGGTGGCTGATATGTATCCTCCATGTCTTGCTTCGTCACCTATAAGAAAAATTCAATTCGCAATACAAACACTTTCATTTCGTTTGTTTCAGGTTTGTTCTGAAAATTTCAAAAGGTGAACTAGTATGTGTAAGAAAAAGTACCATCGCATCAAAGTGATATCGGTCGACGCCTCCCCAGTATTCAAGATCATATGCACTATAGTGCTTGCAGCAAGCTGAAACCTTAAGCCTGCTATTAGATCCACTCACCCTTTCATCTCCAACATCTTGCAATCCCTTCACATATTTCACTCCATACCTTGAAACCATCAAAGGGTCCTCGCCCGGTGACTCCTGGCCGCGACCCCATCTCGGATCACGAAACACATTCACAGTGGGAGCCCAATACGTGAGGCCAGCTTGGCCCACATTGTACAAGGCTCGACCTTCATCCGACACCACCTTCCCCATCTTCAGCCACAGCTTCTCGTTGAAACTAGCTCCAGTGAGTATTACAGCAGGGAAGGTGGTCGCTCTCGACATGCTGCCATTGAACTTGGCAGCATATCTAGAACTAAAAATACCATGGTTAGCCTCCGACCACCACTCGTAATCCGGAATTCCAAGCCTAGAAACGCCAGTTGAACCCGACCCAAGCTGCTGCACTTTCTCCTTGAGGGTGAGCCGCGAGACGAGGTCATTCACTCTGTCCTCGTAGGACCGGGAAGTGTCGCAGAAGAGGAAGTTGGTGGTTTCGGGGTTCCTCTGGTCACAGGCATAACTTTGAGGGGTGACTGGTGGGAGGGATACAAGGGTCAGTGAAACGAGTGACACTGCAATATAAAGGAGTTTGATCAACTCCATTGGCGCCTCTATATTTTTTTGTGATCACCTGATGAAAATTTCCATCCCAATAAGGCTAACAGCAGAATGGTATGAATGTTCTTGATATAAAGATAGAAAGCAGATTCTCAGGCTTCCATTACTCTCATCTAGTACATAAATAATTTCTCTCTCTCTCCCCCTCCACTTATTTCCTTTGGCTCATCTTCTTCATGCTGATGCTTTAAATTGAAGTACTTGTAGATGGAAATGTTTAAGTTATCCTTTTACAACGCTAACGTTATATTTCGTCCATCTTGAAGGAAACAAATTTTATCAGTTATGGCACCCACTATTACTATTTGAATTGTAACATAAAATACTTAAAACTCATAAGTCATCTGTATTTAACAGTCTTCTTTCAGGTTCAAAAATGTTCAACGCTAATCGCTCTATAATTTCTTAATTAAAGTAGTTTTCGTTTATAAAATAATCACGATAAGTCAATATGTATGAGGGCTGCAATTTAGGAAGCAACAGTCAGCTTAAGCACAACTGGTGGAAGTGCATTGTATACTGGATTAGACACTGGAAAGTAAGGGAAAACATTTGCAGAATAGGTGTTCCATATTAGCTCATTCATACTACAGTATGGTGTGAGAATGAATCTAATAACTTCGGAATCTCGAATTTATTGGTTGATAAGAGTGTTAATAACTTAATATGCAAGGGTATCGTGTTCAAGCTATTTTGGGAATTCTTACGGTTTATGATTGATAACATCTTGTCTATATATGATCTGATTGATGATCTATGTTTATCTAGGGGGATTCAAATTCAGAACAATGCTTTCTCTGTTTGATTTGACCTACCATAGAAATCTGTGCTTGGAAAAATTGTGAAAAACAGGTTATTTCGAGAATTTTATTGTCAGTTCGTCTATAATTTGGAGAAAAAAAAAGTGTTCCTATTTACCTTCAGTCACTTGCCAACAACAATCTCCATGAGAAGCTACATAAATATATCCATGTACTAGAACTACCACTGGTTTGGGAAGGCTTCTCTATATTTAGCATCTTCGCCCTGTGTAAGCTGTCGAACAGTTGCATCCTTCGCTTTTGTATTCAGAAGTCGTTGAGACAACCTGTCCTTTCTGGTTATTTTTGGCCGTAGCATGGATGCAAGAGTTTCCTTCTTGCTGTTAGACGACGATCTCGCTACCAACTCTCCATCTGCTCCGTCGACCCCTCCATATCCGGAGGTTGAAGCTAATGCAGCATCCTTCAGAACTGCTTCATTGTGTTCCCTTACTTTGGCAAGCTTAGCACGTTTCACCAATTGCTTCTCCATTTTCCTTTTCCTTGCATCGTCATGCCCTCTGTCCCTTACGTTCTTCACAGCTTGCTTTGCCAATTGCTCAACCGAATCCACTCCCAGTCGTTCGTTGCTCTCCATGTAAGCAGTTTCACTGACACGACTTCCTTCATCCGACGTGTTTCCAATGATGGGATTTCCTTCATCATCTCTGGGTATGACAGGTCCATGAAACGGGCACACCCTCAAATCTCTTCTTGGACAAAGTCCACCTTTTCGTAGTGGAGCACGACATGGCTGGATCTCTACTTGCTCTTCTTTGTAAAGACTAGCAGAAAGGTTCAGTTCTGCAATCCTTTCTGCTGGAATAACTGCATCGTAGTCAACCCTACCCCAGTGATTTTCAAACTCCATCCCCCTCTGGTTCGCTAAAACATCCTTATTTGGACCCCAGTTATCCAAGGAAGAGCCCCAACTCATGACGGGGGCTTTCTCTAACAGCTTACTTCTAACAGGGTCAGAATCGGCTTGTCTCAGTAGATTGCCCGGCAGCTCATGTTTTTCTGATTTTCTGTTGCTACATCCAGTAGATGGATTTTTCACCTCTCCACAAGTTGATGACTCGGCGAGACTTTCATGCAGCTTCTTTGATTCATTGGAGCTCCCAGTCCTCTGAATCGTCTCAACTTTACCTTCCTCCCAAAAATCTTCTTCCTCCTCTTCTTTACCATTCTTTGGAATGGCAGGAAGAGAGCAACCTGATTCAGCACATTTCTTCTTCACCAATTGGATTTGATTTCGGAAGTCGATGAGCTCCTTCAACATGGAATCTCTGAGCCTGGCGTTCGTGACTTCAACCCTTATGAGAACAGAGATCCATCCTTGGACTGAAACTAGATGTTTGGTCACCAGAAGTTTGTAAAGCTCTCTCAACGTGTCAAAAACCACTCTATTCTCAGCATCCTCGTGTACTTTATCTGCTTCCTTCAACGAATTGAGGCGAATTTGCTGCAGCTCCAAAGAACGGAACTTCTCATCATCATCATCATCATCATCATCATCATCATCATCTATATGACTCAGGAGACTGTTTTCCTCCTTGCAAGTAACAATTTCTAGACATTGATTAATCTCATCAATTGTAGCCTGCATCTCTTGTTTCATGGAGGGCAGATTTTCCTCGAGAGTTCGAAACTTATTTTGCAGAATCTCTTTGGACCTCATCTCTTTCTCCCTTCTCTCCTGCTGAATCCGGGCAGCGTTCCCCTGGATGTTAGGAAACTGAAGGCGCAAAGTGTTTTTGAGGTAGTCAAAGCCCAACCTGATTTGTCTGTAATGAACCCCATATGATGAATTCCACTTCTCCAGAAATTCAATTGCCTTTGAACGGAGAATCGTTGCGACAGCAGGGGGAGCTGGAAGGGGAAGATTTCTTTTGAACCCTACAGTTAGTGTCAATAACTGGTCCAGTTTCTCCACAAGAATGCTTCTGAAAAGCTTTGAGCGCATGAAAAGCTCATCAACTATGAGAAGGGAGAGATAGCGGACCTGTCGAAACGACAACAAGGCTCAACTCAACTCCCATGAATTCAAAACCCTAAAATGATCCACTCCAAAAAGCTTAACTTGGGAAGATGCTAACTAAGAAGCCGCAAAATTGAAATCGGACGGGACAACCAGATGAATTGTGAAGATAGAGCCAAACGAACCTGAGAATGATCGCGTTTCATGAGATCCATTAGGGTTTGAGCGGCAAGCCGGAGCTCTACATCGGAATACCGGACCGTGCATTTGATGGCCTTGAGGAGACGCGGCTCTACGTAAGCCGCCGTCGAATCGGTGGCCTTCTCAATCAAAGGCTTGATCTTTCCTCCTCCATCTTCCGCTTCATCCATGGTGATCAACGGAGAGAGACAGAGAAAAGGTATTGAAATTTCAAAAGGATTGCCCTGTTTTTTTATCACGGAATTTGGTGGCAAAATAGTCAAAGGTGGTTTCTTTTCAAACAAGGGATCGCCGGTGTAGCCAAAGAATTGCCGGAGTTCAGGAAGGCACGGCTGAATTGGTTCGTCGCCAAATTTGTCGTTGCGGAGAACATTGGCTTTCGAACGAAAATGAGGATGGCAAACTGGAGATGGATAATTTATTAATTTAGCGAAAAACAAAGAAAAAAATCTTTATTGAAAACGAAATATTTGAGTAAAAAATCATGGTAAAATTCTATTTGACTCTTTTTGTCCAATTACCCGGAGAAACCCCAACAGGCGACCCACGGTAACTGCCGGTCTTTCTTATCTTAAACCTCTAAAACCTCAAACAGCCCTGCTTGGCTGCTTTGGTTTGCTTTCCCCTGTTTTCTTCTTCACGCCTCTCTACGGAGATATGGCGTCCGTCGTTTCTTCGACAAAGATTTCTTTCTCCATCTGTCCTAGCGAACCGTCTCTCCATTTCCTTTCCCATTCAAATTTTCAAAGCATCAATTTTCGGACCAAAATCAGACTCACTGTAAAATGCACAGCCACGAACCAGCCGAGCCAGCAGCATAGTAAGAAGGATCCAAAGAAGAAGGATAAAAATGAAGAAGGTGACGAGAAAGGAGTAAACCCAGTTGGTTTTCTCACCAGACTGGGAATTACCCATAAACAATTTGCTGTCTTTCTCCGTGAAAGGTATAATACCTGTCTTGTTCCCTTTAATTGTTTTTGCTCGGTGTCTGAGGAAGTGGGGGGAGTAATGAACTAGCTCTAGTTCGAGTAATTGTGTTGGAATGTTTGATTTGGTAGTTTTTACCAGTAGAAGCTGCCTCTGCATTCGCCCCTAGATATATTTTTTAGGTTCATTGGGATTCAGTTGTTTGGAGCAAGTGAATTTCCATTTTGGCGGGTTTCCATTCTGATTCGTGGCTACTGTCAGGCATAAAGCATTCAAGGACCTCAAAGAAGAAATTTTCAAGAGACAGTTTATGGTCAAGGACATTGCTTATGGGTAAAGTTCCAACTTCTATTTTTTCCCCCTCCCTTTCTCTTCTGCAGTTCTTCATTGCTTTAACTTTTGCTTAGTTTAAGTGCTGAATTTGACTGTTTCATTGAACTTGCTTTAGACTTTCGAATTCAATGTGTTAGTTCATTTGAAACGATTTTACAGCCCATAGTCATGACAAAGTCAGGTAGTTAATTTTACCTTCTGTATGCATAGATGATTGCATGGTTGAGTTCTTATATTCTTTTGCTTCTCCTGGCATAGATTTGAGCTACTTGGTCTACACAGACATCCAGAGCATCGCATGGATTTCATGGATTGGGCACCAGGTTTGGTGTTCAGCCTTCAGTTTAATTAAAGCCAGAAGCAACTTCTATGTTGACTTCATGTATCCAGAAGCGAAAATCATCTGTTGTCAGTGCATCTTGTATGAATATTTAGACCACTTTTGTTGCAGGTGCTCGTTATTGTTCACTAGTTGGTGACTTCAATGATTGGTCACCAACAGAGAATTCGGCTAGAGAGGGCCTTCTTGGCCATGATGATTATGGTTACTGGTTTGTTGTACTTGAAGATAAATTAAGGGAAGGAGAAGAGCCTGATGAGCTTTATTTTCAGCAGTACAACTATATGGAAGACTATGATAAAGGGGATAGTGGCGTCGACATTGAGGAAATCTTCCAGAAAGCAAATGATGACTACTGGGAACCAGGAGAGGATGAGTACATGAAAAATCGTTTTAAAGTGCCAGCAAAGTTGTACGAACAACTTTTCGGGCCTAATGGACCGCAAACATTAGAAGAACTTGAAGAGACACCACTGGAAGACGGGCAAACAAGATATGAGAAATGGAAAGAACAGCATAAGGATGACCCTCCAAGTAACTTGCCTTCAATGCATGTGATTGATCAAGGAAAGGAGTATGACATTTTTAATGTTGTAAGTGATCCTGCTTGGCTAGAGAAAATTCGTTCTAAAGAGCCTCCCCTACCATATTGGCTTGAGATACGTAAGGGAAGAAAAGCATGGTTGAAGAAGTATAGTCCAGCTGTTCCTCATGGAAGCAAATACAGGGTCTATTTCAACACTCCTAGTGGGCCATTGGAAAGAGTACCTGCTTGGGCTACCTACGTACAACCAGGTAAAAGAATACTCCTAAAGGAAAGTGTTCTTCTTTTAATCGTTTCATTCTCACTCTTAACAATTGCTTCAACCCTTTCTTTTGTCAAAAGTTGGAATACTTGTATCAGAGAGTTGGATAGAAGAGTCATAAATGATAATGTTATGTTTTTATTGTAAACCTCTGCCATTCATATTTCTGAAGTACTGTTCATCGTATTTCCATTGTTGATAAGATCCGGACGGGAAGCAAGCTTATGCCATTCACTGGGAACCACCTCCTGAGTGTGCCTATAAGTGGAAGTACACATCCCCCAAGGTTTCAAAATCCTTACGGATATATGAATGCCATGTTGGGATCAGTGGCTCTGAACCGAAAATAGCGTCTTTTAGTGATTTCACTGAGAAGGTAGCTTGTTCTCACGGCTCTGCCTATTTGGAATCACCGCATGCCACGGCAATAACTTAACTAGTAGTATTCTGATCTCAACTAGGTTTTCTTTTTTCTCGTAACAGGTTCTTCCTCATATTAAAGAAGCTGGGTATAATGCTATTCAGTTGATTGGAGTTGTTGAGCACAAAGATTACTACACTGTTGGTTATAGAGTAAGTCGTGCTTGCTTTACTCTATCTTAAGCTCCTTATTTTGCGTGACAGCTCAAGATAAATTGGTGGCTGGAGGATCTGGAATCTGAACGGGATTTTACAATTAAATTTTAGATGGGAGGATTAGATGAGAAAGTTTGAATTGAGTATAAATTTGGAGTCAATTGTATACTCATCAAACTTAATGTCAATTGCTCGTGGCCTGATCCAATTGGTAGTTTCTCTTGTTTCACTGTTGTCTATTGTCTCTATATTTTGGTTGGTCTGTTTTCGATAAAATATGCTAGTATCATGTCTGGTTGGATCCTGGATTTGTACTTGCAGGGATCAGGTGCATAATGTGGCTTTTCTGATGCGTTAAAATAATTTGTGAGGTTAAAATTTAGCTTTGTGCTAATGCAGGTCACCAACTTTTTTGCTGTTAGCAGTAGATATGGAACCCCAGATGACTTCAAACGCTTGGTTGATGAGGCACATGGTTACCATCCATCCTCTTGATCTTTATTCAATTTTCCTTCTGTACAATTTCATCTAATCATAATTAGGGATAGAGCCACTCCGAGTACGTGTTCTCAATTGCACCTCCCTCGCACATTTCATGGTGCACCCTTTTCAGTTTTGTATTAGAATGTCCTGACAATATTGTTTTTTTTTCTTTCAAATTTCCATCTAAACCAAAATTTAGATATGATTCACATCGTAATGTGCGTTAATGATTGTATTGACTTCCGTAATTTATCATTCTGTGTTGACTTCATCATTCTGCAGGACTGGGATTGCTGGTGTTCTTAGAGATCGTTCATTCCTATGCTGCTGCAGATGAAATGGTTGGACTGTCATTGTTTGATGGCTCAAATGATTGCTACTTCCAAACTGGTAAATATTTGCCTGCACATATAGTAGTTTGTATGGCCTGATGTGTGATGTGTGATGTGTTTAGACATATTCTTGCTTCTCATCTCGCATCTCTGCATGTTCTCTTAAGCTTTTGCTTCTGCGTGCATGCGTACATGAGTGCTGTCAAGAACAATAACAGGGATTTAAAATGAATTTAGAACTTACCGATCATGGCTATATTGGTCAACTGTTATTTCTCCGATGAAACAGGAAAACGGGGGCATCATAAATTTTGGGGTACCAGAATGTTCAAATATGGTGACCAAGAAGTACTACAGTTCCTACTCTCAAATTTAAACTGGTAAGCAAGAAACACAAGCAATTGTCAGCATTCTCAAAATGTTGGTGGTTGGTTGTTTTCCAAATGCATCTCACTGTACTATGGCTTGTATTATGCTGCTTAATCTTTAAAGTACAAGATAGTGTGTCTCGGATTGTCTGCGTTGGGTGCGGCATTATGGGCAAGGCTTACAAAATGTTTTTGCAGGTGGGTCGTGGAGTATCAAATAGATGGTTTTCAATTCCACTCACTCTCATCAATGATCTACACACATAACGGCTTTGCTTCTTTTACAGGAGATTTGGAAGAGTAAGCTCTCTGTTTTATCATTCTTCCCGACAGTTTTTTCCTTCTTCATGAAGTCAGTTACTGCATACTTTGTACTGGTTTCTATAGCTAAATCATCTTCATTATATCTCCATAACCAAGTATGGTACAGAAGTCCGGTTTCAGCTGTCTTTTTGGGACTGTATTTTGTTTCCCTAGCTGACTAATGACACCTACCAGCTACCTTGACTTGGTGGCTTAATGTGCATTTCACGCATTCAATTCAATTAGAGCCACTGCAATAAGGGCACTTATGTTTTGCTGATTACTGTCTCAAGTACAACGTGGAATAGTTGTAATGAGTTCCTCTATATGAAATTTTCTGTAGAAGGATCTGGTAACTGTCTTCTCCTCAGGATCCAGTTGATCCACTTTGACCTTTCAAATTAGTAGCATCTCGACATTGCATAAAGATGTGGATAATGTTACTAATATAAGGAAATGTCTTATTCTTGCAGGTACTGTAATCAATATGTAGACAAAGATGCCTTACAGTATCTCATGTTTGCAAATGAGCTCTTGCATGCTATTCATCCTAATATCATCACAATTGCTGAAGATGTAGGTGACTGAGTTTTGGAAGGGAACATATGTTGTAGCTGATTGTTCTCATAGTTACTTAAATAGTTCTCGTGAAAATAAAAATAAAAAATTCCTCTAACTCCATGGATTGAACAGAGAGTGAAAACTTTGCATCTTATAAATTAAATACCAGCTCCTAATCCTGTTAGTACGGTGATGTTTCCTACTTATAATGTGTCTTCATAGAGTTATTAATATCATTGCATCAGGCAACATCCTATCCAGGACTCTGTGAGCCAATTTCTCAAGGTGGACTGGGATTCGATTACTATGTCAATCTTTCTGTGTCAGAGATGTGGTTATCATTGCTTCAGACTGTGCCTGGCCATGAATGGAGTATGAGCAAGGTTTGAGTACTTTTCATAAGTAATCATGGATTATTTGTATGAGTTCCCTTTTTCTTTTTCAATTGGCAATCACTAGTCTTTCAATTGTTCTAGCATGAGCTAAACTTTCCTTCATATGCAGATTGTCAGCACATTGATGGGCAACAAACACTATGCTGATAAGATGCTGGTGTATGCTGAAAATCACAACCAAGTAAGCTTTTTATCTTTTCTTTCGGGTCAGAAGCTCTGATAAACTGTTACAACGTTAATCTGATGATAATGTGGCCTCATGTCTAGTGTTCTAATAATTGCTGACGTTTTCTTTATTTTTTCACTTCAGTCCATCTCGGGAGGGCAGTCGTTTGCTGAGATTTTGTTTGGCGAGGCAAATAAGCAGTCTTCTGGTTCCGAGGCAGTCGTGCTTAGGGGTTTGGCAGTACTCAAAGTGAGCCTCGACTTGTCTTCTCTTTCACTTCCGTAATTCCGAATTAACTGTTGATAATGTAATGGGAACAGCTGAAGAATTTCTATAGTATCATGTTTCTCTCCGAACAGAAGTAATCTGCAATGGGTTGAACAAGTTATTTAATGCATTATGTTTGTTGACATACATTGTTTTATCTCTTGCTACCGGTCCTTATTTCTTTTTGTCTTGGCAGATGATGAGACTGATAACTTTCACTTTAAGTGGCGGGCACGCTTACCTCAATTTCATGGGCAATGAATTTGGGCACCCCAAGGCAAGTCTCTGTCTGTCATCTTTCTGCAGATTTTTGCCACTTAGTTTTAAGTTCCGTGATACAAAGATTAATTGTTGATTAACAAAACTTGTCACATTTTAGAGGGTCGAGTTCCCAATGCAGAGCAACAATTTTTCTTATTCACTTGCGAACCGCCAGTGGGATCTGCTAGCAAATGTTGGTTTGCATCAGCATCTGTTTTCCTTTGATAAGGTGGATGACAACTCTATAACTTAATATGGACCTCAGACATATATGTCACTTGCTTTATGAGTGAATTGTTGCAATTTTATACTAATCCACTGCTGGATACTAGGATCTAATGAGTCTGGGAGAAAATCAAAAGGCAATCTCAAGAGGTTTGCCAAATGTCCACCATTTGGATGACACCACCATGGTATGGTACTAGCCATTGCATTTACCGAATTCCTACTTGGACAGCTTGATGGAAGAAGGGTATCACATGGTGGCTAATCAAAGGCTTGTTTTGTGATTCACCAGGTGATAGCTTACATAAGAGGTCCTCTCCTCTTTGTGTTAAACTTCCATCCAACCGATTCCTACCCGACATACAACGTTGGTGTCGAAGAAGCCGGAGAGTATCAAGTAAGGGAAATGAGAAATCAGTTGTTTGAAAACTAAGATTGAAACTTTACAATATTTAGAGTTGGTCACTTGGTAAATGTCTGGTCTTCTGTGGTGATGGTGGCAGATCATACTGAACACTGATGATGAGAAGTATGGTGGGGAGGGACTAATAGATGCCGGGAAATATCTTCAGAGAACCGTTGTTAGAAGGTTCTTATTGCTCCCCTCCTCTGTAAACCCTATTTCTGGTTATTTTTCCACATACATTCCTCTTCACTATGTCAGTGCATTGCAATGCAGAGTGGATGGCTGTCGATACTGCTTGCAGTTACAATTGCCTAGCAGAAGTGGCCTGGTTAGTATATTAGCATGTGTGCCCCTACCGTTGAAGATAACATTTCAGTTCTGACAAACCATGATGAACATTGAGCGATACATATATTTGTTCGTATTATGTCTCTTGTTTCAGGTTTACAAGCTGACTCGCATTTTGAGAGTATAAAAAAAAAGTAAAAAACAGCAGCAGGGTAAGAATATGCTTCTATGATTCCATCATAATGGGGGCAGCATTATATTTGGTCTTTCCAGACTTAAAAGAATGGACTTTTGGTTGGGACAGGATGACGAGAAGCTGTCTGCCGTTATTCTGCAGTTTTGGCCCGACTGAACTAAGATGATGGTACAGGGTACTTGGATTTGACAGTGAAAACCTGAAGCAGAGTATTTTTGTCTTTGAAGTGGGCAGATCTCTTCAACTATGATCTCAAATGTCTGCTGTTGGATGGTCATCTATACAGTTAAACGGTTGTGAAAAGGGATGCTATTTTCATGCTGTCATGACTGATCGGCTGCAGACCGTCGAGCAAATGCAATCTATGGGCTCTCGGGCAAATGCAATCTACTACCGGTCTGAAGGTGAAACACAAACTCTCTGCATCAGTTTTTTATGAGTACATTAGAGGTCGTTTGGCAACCATGTATGTAGGATATATAAATATCAATGAACATGTGTTTTATACATGTAACTAGCTTCGACCCCTGCCCAAAAGGGCAGGTAGCTTTTTCGTTTTTGTGTTTGTGTAGCATATCGTTATTAAGTAACAAATTTTCTAAAATCACGTAGGTAGTTTCTGTAAAAAAAAGATCAAATAGAGTCATTAAACGTTTTTACTCTCTCTAGAACGCAAAATTCACCTTTTATATACATCTCAATTTTTCGTAAACAGTGGAAGCTACATTCATCTTAATGAAAGCATGGAAGATTTGTCATGTCGCCTTGTAGTTTAAACTCTGGTCAATATACGAAATTGCATACAATACCTAATCCTGCCGTCTAAAGTTAGGGTTATTTAACGGTCGTCAGCTATCGAACATCCAAATGATTTAGCGGATTAGAAATCTCGAGGAAAGTTAGATTGAGTCTCTAAACAAAAATGACTCTATAGAAATATTATCGAATGATGAGAATGAGCGAGATGATGTTCATGAGAGAAAATCCCGAGGGAATGGAAAAGTTCTATGGTTTATGTGGATAGGCTACTCATAATCAATGAAAAAAACTCAAGACTCATACTTATTTTTATAGAAATATTTCCTCTAGGTACTCGGGAAAAAAATATTTATTAGAATAATATAGAAATATTATTATTATTTGAATGAGTAAATAATATTAATTATAGTTAACTAATTATCATAAACAATAATAAAAAATAATCCAACAAGTTCTCTCTCGTCTACAAATCTACAAATACCTATTAGCCAATGTCAATAAAATGATTTTTGCCACCTCAGCCTTTGCAACGCAGACCGCATATTTCAGAGGGTTATATTTGTATACTATAACCCGGCTCGTTGGCTGGAATTTTCATATTTATATTTTTATGTTATGTTTAAATCTATTAATTCGTTTAAGTTTATTGAAAATCATTCAATCGAGATGCTACATAAAGAATGAATATATAGGTCGAACATTCAGGGAAATACCCTCATTTATGAATATACAAATGTATCATTAATCCCATTTTCATAATGATAATTGAGCCCCCCATTAAAATGATATTGGTTAATAGATTGTCCAGAAATATATAATATGAAAGCTCATTGGAATTCCCACACGATCCATAGATAGTTTGAAACAGAAATGAAACCTCACAATCCTACATAAATGGTTCAAAGCTCTCCTCTATGAATAATGTCACTAATAAAAAAGAAATGGATTTATAAAAAAAAACAGAAATGAAGAGTTGTTGATTCAAGTAAATCATATGCTAACAACTCAACTAAAAGGAGACCATCAAAATTTGAGAGCAAATGACAAAATTAGAGTTACATCCAATATACTAATATACTCGATCAAAGTAATGAGGCACAAAATTACACACTCCTTATCTACAGGTTCCAGTAGTTTGAATAGTGAATCGACCTTAACTTTAGTAAATCAATCAATGATTCCTCGTTTTAACATAAACATAGGTTGTGGTACTTGCAACGACCATAACACCTAAAGATCTAGTAGTTTTCACTCTCCGTTGTGCAACCAACTTTTTATCCCCTCCATCATCAATCTCTCGACGTATATGTTTTAAACCAAAATTCAATTTCTAATCCTCCTTTGATGGACCTTCTCTCCATGAACATGAATTTCTCTTTCAATTGAGTTTCTTGTCAGCTTGATCTCCAACTTCTCAATCCTCTTTTCCCTTAAAAAAAATCATCAATCCTCTTTCTTGTATTTGGCCAACTCATTATGCTTGCAATTAGATTAATGGACACCAGCAAGCACCAAAATTCCACGAGACGATGAGTTGTCTTCACTTTGAGTTTTGTCATAAAACTACTGGCCTGACATGTTTATCAATTTGGAGGCCATATGATGAGCAATACCAAATCAGTTGCACCGAAGTTACCGGTCACAGTAATGACAATGTGAAACATGTGTTAACAAACGCGAATGTGGGTTACTTTTATGAAATGTCATTAGAATGATGGGATTGGACAATGAGATCGTCCTTAGTTAAGCGACATGTAAATTGGTTCATTTAGTATGGAGGACACAAACCGTTAAAATTCTAAATTATTTGGGTGAGTTTGTATTTAGTATTTTCAAAATCGTGGAATATGAGTTAGCTGATTAAAATATCTAAACCCAAACGAACCGACCCACGTCCACCCCTAGGAAGAGTTTCAAAATTTAGTATTTAACCGGACAAAAATGTTCAGACTTTAGAGAACCAGCCCCCTATAGTTTGCACAAAGATATGATTGCTTTACTATAGTTCTAGAAATTAATGGTAATATAAGAATTCTGTATCGCTTCTACACATTTAATACTGTAATTCGATATGAAATATTCGAACCAACAATATTTTGTTTGCAAATTTATGGTTATCGTCTATTTATAAGATAGATAATATTTTAAATTAAGTATTAAACTATAATTAAAATAAAAAATATCAAAATGGAAGTATCAAAAACACCAATAAGTACTTACGGAATATTTATTGGGCTAGCTAACTGTTGAAAAGTTCTGTGATTTCATATTTTAGCTTCGTAAAAAATTTTAATTTAACATAATACAACAAATCTACATAGTCTAATTGATTTTAAACCTTCAATTTGTTTGAAGTGACCATGGTTCAAATCTCAATATGTCTATCTTTTTCTGTAAATAAATAAAAAATATAGATAATTGTGAAGACAAAAATGTCCTTCCTAATTTCCCTCTCATTGCAGGAAATTTGAAAAGGGAGATTAAGTTTCAAATAATTAAACGATATACCCTAAATCTATAGAACTTAAAACCCTAATATCACATATACTAAGAACATAATCAATGATTCCGATTCGCCAAGATGTATACAACATACCATATGCACTATATTAGGATTTAGAGAATTATGATATAGGGTTTGGTTACCTGATTAATCTATGGTCTACATAATGTTATTTAGATAAGGAGATGCAATAACCCTAAATCCATCGAGCCTACCATAGAATTTCCAATGTATATACACATACCATTGTTTGTTAAATTTAGCCAATAATAATTGGCTCATTTGTCAATGGTATTTAGTCTTTCAGGGGTCTTTTGCTTCATGGATTTAGATGATAGATTTGGTATCCAAATCCATTCCATCATGGATTTAACAAAAATCCATCATTAACTTGCATTTTTTTAGGGCCCAAATTCGTGGGGCCCACGGATTTTAAGGGTCCCAATCCGTGGACCCCACGGACTTGTACATCCCACATATTGATGTGGGATTTGTAACATGTCATAAATCCATGATGGGATTTTACCCATATACCCTCATGAACCTTTAAAATTTCAAGGTTGTCCTCACATTTACCTATTGTACTTTATAAATAATCAATTAATTAACAATAAATAAAGAATATAAATGTTCAATTAATGTGCAAACATTAGTTAGATTTGTAGACCATTTCTTGCGTTCTAGTTTCCTTTAACTTTTTCATGGAACGTGTAATTCTTTGTTTCCCGGTTATAATATATGTTACTCTATGTTACTTTTCAAAAGGAGGACAATAAATTAATAACCGATATATGTTTCGTTAAAAGTTAAACCGAATTTTTACGTTTATTATTATTGTACTTGTGGCAACATTATGCTTATTAGTACGTATTGTCATTTTTGTGTGTAGATACCATAAACATGACAAACAAATAGAAAAGGATAGTATGGTAATTTTGGGCAAACTCTTAAATCCATGATAAAGCATCTCAACAAACAAATGATTGTTAAAAATCCATAATACCTCAAATCCTTAATAAATCCTTAGGTTTTTAAATTACAAAACCCTCATTTTTAAATCCATGAAGCAAACGACACTCAATTCTATGCTTATAATTGTCAAACATTAGGGAAATTGTTAGCCAATAATTTTTGGTCATTCACTTATAGAATTGAAAATGTCTCGTTACAAAATCATAGATCACAAATGTCAAATTTTATGTTTTGAAATAAAATTTTATATAGCACTTTTGTAAACAATCCTTGTATTCCTACAAACTACAAAGTCATGTAACTTAATAAATGTAAAAGTTGTAAGACATACATAAACTCAAAATGTACTATTTGATTCTTGGTGAAGAATTGTGTGATTAGTGGAACTCACTTAGTTGATTCATAAAGCTAGGTATATCATGATGATTCACTTTGTAAATAATTACAGTTATTAATAAATTCGATGATTGATTGTTGTGGTGGATAGTCCTATGATATTGAGTATTTCAGTATTTGGTCTCTTTAATTCAAAAAGTACATAAACATTGTTGTAGTCCAGTTGGTTAGAGATATTGACTACCATTTTGAAGGATTTGAGTTCAAGTCTTGGTAATGAAATTTTTTTTCTTGTAAGAATTATAGAGGGATTTTCTCTCTGGCTCTCCCCAGGAACTGCCCCTCTTTTTTTTCTTTCCTTTTTCTTTTAGTATCGTAAAATTAGAATCCCAATAAATTACGTAGTCACCAAATTTTTCCCTCGCCTTTTTACAAGCCCACAACCCCTAGGCGAGTCATTAAAAATTTAAAACACCAACCTTTATTTATTTGGGCATATCAATAGATTTTGAATATTTTTATTTTTTCCATACAAACTATTCATCTATTAAATTATATCATATTAATTTTTTTGTCACCTGATGTAGGGCGGGATGAGTATTCTACTCGATCTAACTCAACTCATTCTCGATATGTTTTATCTAAATTATATGTAAATTTTCTCAAATTATTTAGAATTTTACTCTTATTACTTTGTATTTTAGCTGTAACAAATCGATGTATATGTAAGAAACTTAATTTATCAAATAATTTAACTACATTTATCATTTTATATTATGTTTGTGGAGTTGTCAATGTAAAGTTCACTTTTTTCATATTTTTTCTTTATAATTTAAATTATATACCTATATGGGTCAACCTATTCGGACCCACGCACGTAATAAGTTTCCCGATCTGTTACGTAACTAACAAGTATGAATATCGAAATATCCGTCTCGGTCTGCCCATTATCATTCCAAAACACCATAGATCTTTCTTTGTTTAAGATGGAATCTGAATTATAGATTTCATATTTAGTTTTACCTTTTTCAAGTTTCACTAAATTTTTAATTGTAATATATTTTTATATTTAAATAATATATTAGTACATTAATATTATCATAGCCACATAAGATAATGTAAACATTATTTCACATAAAATAGAATTACCGACCAATCGGCCGAGGCCACAAACTTATGGAAGTAGATGAAGATCATTGAAATAATTTTTTAAGTCAATGTGATTTGGAAATGGAGTTTTAAGATATATGTTGGATTATAATTTTTTTATTGGACTAATCAAATAATTCATATTTTTTCTATTTCGATTAGAATTGAATTAGTTGGAAGGAATTACCAAGCGGAAGATACTTGATTTAGAAACACAATAATTTGAGTTGTAAGAATATCAATAGCATATAATTCATTGCCCATGATAATCAATAATAGTTATTTTACTCAAGACTCATAAATTAATTATACGAAAGTTGAAGTTGTGAAATCATCACAAAACAAACACTTTTTATTACATGGTGATTGGACAAACCCGGCCATTAGGCTGGACCCTATGCTAGTCTCTTAAAAAGAAAAAGAAAGAAATATGTGAAGGAAGAATTGTTAAAAAGAAAGAAGCATGTACAAATAATAGGCCGTTGGTAATCAAACAGAGAAGAGTAAAGAATTTTAAAAAATGAACAAAAGAGATAAAAAAAAAACAAAAGAAACGGCTCCGCTGGGAAGGAGAGAATTTTAAAAAATAAATAAATAAATCAGTAACACCGAAAATTGTGGAGAAGCCAGAAAGGTTGACGTGGTGGGGGTCGATTTTCTAAACAGCTTTTTTAAGAAACTAGCTTATAATCTGGCCCGTTGGTCGGAATGTTCATATTTTAATATTTATATTTTGATGCTATGTTTAAGTCTATTAATTCGTTTAAGTTTATTGAAAATCATTCAATCGAGATGGTACATAAAAAATGAATATATAGGTCGAATATTGAGGGAAATACCCTCCTCATTTAAGAATATAAAAATGTATCATTTTCTCCATGAATCTGAATTTCTCTTTCAATTGAGTTTCTTGTAAACTTTATCTCCAACTCCTCAATCCTCTTTCTTGTATTTGGCAAACTCATCTTCCTCGGGGAATTTTTAATAAGCTCGTAAAACCAACACTCATCTTCAATTCCATCAATATGCTCTTCTCCTCCTACTCTGCCTTCACCTGATCTAGTTCACTTCCATGCCCTTCAATACCCTCTCCATTTTCATTAATCCTGATCATCTACCACTTCTCTCTCTTCAACTGCTTCGATTTTGCTTCTATCTTTCAATACCCTCCTTGGTTCAATCACTACCCTGCTCAACTGCCTCTTCACTGCCTTCACTTGCTGCAAACTACTTCCATGACTTTTTGTACACCTTCCTCAAAATCACAATCAACTAACCAATATCAATCCATAGCCTTGGATCAGTTTTAAACTCTCTATGAACATCTCAATACCACAAAGTCTAAATCTAAATATTTTTTCAGTTAATCATGAACTTGAGTTTATCAAAATCTAATCCACTCCTTCTAAGTTGGAATTCTCATCCCCCAAGCTCATTTTTGGTTCATTTGATCCCACATAACCATAATATTGTAGACACCCCATTTTGTCCGGGCTAAAATATTCTGAATTTTGAAGAACTTAATTCATTTAAGATAGACAATTGCTAATCTTGAATGAACTACTAAAATATTCTCAAAATATTTAGCATAAGGATATAAGAATATGTAATTTTGATCTTTGGAATTAGCAATAGCAAGTCTTAAGATTCCAATTTAAATAGAGGTTATTACAACTGAAATCTCATCTCCTTTGATTCTAGGCCGATTGTTGGGATAAAATTCATAAGGCAATTGCCTTATTTCGTTATCTTCGTGGTTTGAGATTGCTTTGATTGGTTCGTGGTCTTTGAACGTCGGGCTTTCGAGTTTGGAGTATCAAGTTTGGAGTATCGCTTTACAAAGGACAAACTAAATATGAAATAGTATTATCTTATTAATAAATAAATCACATCTATGGTAAACATACATAGCCATTACAACAATTGAAATTAACGGGTTAATTGCATTGTTGGTCACTGAAATTACAAAAAACGTTCATGTTTGGTCACTCGAAATATTTAAATCCATCTATGGTCACTACATTTAGTAAAACAATCCAAATTTGGTCACTCTCCGTCCAACTCCGTTAACTTTGGCTGATGTGGCAGTCAACTCTCATAGTTGACCGTTAAATCTGTGACGTGGCAATTAAAAATTAATAAAAAATTTTAAATATTCCACCTCATTATCACTACTATTAAAAATTAAAAATTATTAATACCTAAGGAATTCACCAGTCACCCCTCTTTCTCACCGTTGACGGAAGAGGGCGTCGGCCGAATCCCTAAACCTAATACCCTCTCTTCCCGCACCTCTCCCACATCTCCTCCGCCTAGCTTCTCTCCGCGAAATACGCCTCCACAAAAGCGAGATTTTCCTCTCCTCCGCCGCTAGTCAATGGGCTCCACTTTGATCGGCAACCGCTCGTAGTGGCCGCGCGTCTTACCATCGAGCGAGTCCAGTCGAGCGAGTCCTCGGGGCAAGACGGCGTACAACTCGCTGACGACTCAGTCGGAGCTGGCGGCGCCGAGGAGGTCGAGGAGGGAAGGGACGCGATAGGGCCCATAGACGAGTGGGTAGGGTTCGACGGTGCGGCAATCGCTGCGAACCCTAACTTTTTACCATTGCAATTCATCGTCCACACTGGCACGGAGCGGGCAGGAGCGGAACTCGGGTCGGGTGCAGTCCAGGGCGATCCGGACGAGCCCGAATTTCATCTCCTTGACGAGCTGGTGCGTCGGGACGGAGAGCTCGAGGAGCAACAACGGCTTCGTGGCCAGGCGGTCGTGCTGGAAACAGAGCCACACGTGGCCGTGGCGGTTGCCGAATATGGTTCCGATCACCATGGTCTTGGACGGCCGAGATGGCGCCAGGCTGGCGCTCTGATCGGTGGATGTGGAGGAATCTGGGTCTTGCTGGTCATCGTCGTCTTGGGGATCCTTCTTGGAGGATACGGCGTCGTCCGGGAGGTCGTCGCGGAGAGAAGTATGATCCACTTCTTGGTAGTGTGGTGGGGAGCCGCTTCTTGGTAGTTCATTAGGTATTAATAATTTTTTATTTTTTAATAGTAGTGATAATGAGGTGGAATATTTAAAATTAATTTTTTATTAATTTTAAATTGCCACATCACAGACTTAACGGTCAACTATGAGAGTTGATTGCCACGTCAGCTAAAGTTAACGGAGTTGGACGGAGAGTGACCAAATTTGGAATGTTTTATTGAATGTAGTGACCCTGAATGGATTTAAATATTTCGAGTGACCAAACATGAACGTTTTTTGTAATCTCAGTGACCAACAATGCAATTAACCCGAAATTAACATACAATATTGCATAATCACAAAGGTCATAAGGATTACATCATAACTGATTACAATAATAGAAAGATAAGAGAAACTAACGAGGCCAATGTTTTGAAAACTTTTCTTTCGTTTTAAACTTTAGGGCACAATCAGATTTTGAGAACCGTCCTCTTTGGATTTGGTTTTCTCAGGTAATCATTTTGGGCCCTAAAAGTCTAGAAAATAAGCCTGGAAAAGATAATAAAAATAAATAAAAAAATAAAGTTAATTAAAAGTCTAATTTGGGTCAGGCCCATATCAAAGTCCAGCCCAAACCCAATCAGGCCCATCAGATTGGTCAAGGCCCGGTTAACAGATCGACCCAGTCAAGTCTGTATCCAACCTGGACCGGTTCGCCCATTTGACCCGAATCCTGGTTCGACCATGAACTAAGTCGGTTACTGTAGCCACAGTTCTCCACCAATGAGAATCAAATAGGGAGGGGGTCTAAACCCAGGGCCAATCAGATTGGACCAAACTCCCCCCTAGGATACAGTAAATAGCCAATATAAATACAGAGCCTGAGCAACATATGAGGGAGGAGATTTGAAGTCCACATATTCCCATTCTTATCCCAAAAGCAGTAAAGAAAAGACCAAAACAACCATTCACCTCCACCCAAACTTCACCCAAGAATTTACAGAGCTTGAGTGAAAAACCCAGCAAGCATGTAAGAAGAAGTAAAAAACAACTTCCATCTTCCTTTTCTGTTTCTATTCTCATACAAGATTCCAAGGAAAGTGAAGTAGTGGAAAGCGAATGGAGCAAGGAAAGCCCAGAACAAGGAGAGGCCAAAAGGGGAAGCAAACAGCCAATAAAGAAGGCCACCACCATCCCCAAAGTACCAATCACAGACTAAGGTAGGTCACTTTCCCCTTAAAATAACCATCATCATTATCACCCCATACCATTCACGTCTAAAAAAAGAAAAGTTTACTTCTTTGGGGAGCTTTTAAACTTAATATGCTTCTTTAATCACCAACATAACAACAAAAAGGATCTATAATTCTGTTTCTGTTGCTATTGTTACTTTACTTCTCTTTACTTATAGTACTTTATTTGCCTAACTGATCTCGATAAGCTTGTTCTAAAACAAATTATTATAATCAACTCCTCAACAAAACATATATGTATTTGTCCTTTTATATGCTTCAATATCATGTTAATAGAAACTATTCTAAAAAGGGAAACTCTGATTGGTTTTGTTCGTTAAAATAGTCCAACAAACCCCTGAAATAACAAAGACTACAATCAATTGGTTTAAGATAGAGAGGTTATTTTGTAGTACCTCAGTTCTGTTTAAGGGCTCCCCCTCTAATATAGACTCTAAATTTGTTTTCATGCTGAAATGATAATTAAACCTCTCAAAATAGGTCAAAATTCCAACCAAACATTTTACCTATAACTCAACACATAACTCAGCATGCGTATTAATGATCAGTTTATCAAAAGCAATAGCTTTTGCCAAACTCAGTTTAGTTCTTAAAATATTTTCAATAGCATAAAAATCTGTCTTTTTTAGCTAAATCATTTGATCAACTAAGGATATGGAGAGATTTCACTTGAGTTTATTTTGTACCCTAAACCTGCAAAAACGAGAAGAACTAGGTTCAGAGTTATTCAAAAGCCTTTTTTTCAAAAATAAAAAAAATCACGTGGCCATGCCACCGTCCTTTTGAGAAATTACGGAATTGCCCTTCCCCCGTCTCTGAAACAAAACAAGAAGCAAAAAAATGTTGTTGATAGGGTTTTGAACCCATGTCCTCGGGAGTGAATGTGCCATGTGCAGGCAACTTAGCCAGTTGGGCTGCTGGCCCATCTTGCACAAATACAATTATCTCGTTTGGTTTTATTTGTTCAAAATCTTTAATACGAAATTTTGAATGCGGATTGAGTTCATCTTGTTTCTTTTCTAATACATCAAGTATCTTCCTAACAGCTAAAATTCTTATGTTTCTCTTATCAACCTCGTAATAACTTATTCAAATTTTATTAACAAAACCCTTAATACGATAATCACGATCAGTGGAACGTGGTTAGAAAATTTATACTTTATTAAGTTTTATCGAACTACGTGGACTTTGATCCCAGTTAACCCGGGTACGTAGGCAACCGATAGGTTCGAGTCCAACCAATCTAAAAAACCTTTTTACGTCAATAGATGTGAAAACCGGTAACTTTAAATTCAAGTTTACACTAATCACATCGTCCTATGGGACTCTATAATTTACAATTAATTTAAAAAAAATTAAATACACAAACAAATCCTAATTAATATTAAACCCAACCTCTAAAAAACTTATCGATTTACGTAGTACCCGTTATGCGGCGTTGTGGGGTGTGAATGCACTTCCCCACACGTAACCGTACTCCCGAACCTAGAACAATCTATAATTCGCAGACCAGAATTCTAGTTTTAACAAAAAATTAAAACCGGAAAAGGGTGTTCGACCCACCCCAAAATACGATCGATGGCGACTCCAAATCGATTCGTGAGCGATACCCTGATTTTCCGAGGGCGGTTGCGACAGTGGCGACTCCGCTGGGGAATTTTTTATGAGAGTCAAACTACATTAATCGTCAATAAGTTTTTCTTACTTTCTTATAATGGGTGTTATGTGTTTATTACATCAATTTGCGCTTTAAATTTGTGATGTATTTCAATTTTTTGCATCCATGCATAAAGCTCTATTCCCGAGCTGTCCTAATAGCAAAAAAAAGGAAGAAAGTAGTGTGACTCCTACAATAGTAGGGGAAATGCGAAAACTTCTCAACCAGGTTGAACTCAAATCCGAGGATGATTTGGGGTATCATGCTAAAACTCGAAAGGGTTATAGTGTGGTACAACTTGGGAGTCTAATTCCTTAAGGTCCCTATCCAGCATATAGTTTGACTAGAAACTACCTAAGCCGCAACTTAATCCCAGAGCCTACCCAAAAACACGACGTTATGCTGCCGAAAAATCCCTAGGGCTGCCTAACTAAGTTGTTTTATTATTAATACAAGTGTTACATATTTATTGCTCGTTTCTTTCCTAAATGCTAAATGTTTATTGCTCATTTCTTTCCTGTTCGTTATTTGAGAAGTGTGCTATAACATGGGTTTGTTTCTTTCTCATCATAAGTAGAAAAAAAAATTCTCAAAACAATTAAAGAAATTTACAATGATCATAACACGCATGTATCACCATCATCATGCATTCTCATGTTATGATTGTCGCGCACAGTTAACTTGGAATCTATTATGTATGATGTTAGATGGATCAAATGGCGAGGAACCTAGCCGAACACAACATAGCTATCATCCCCAACTTCATGCCCGAACCTGCATGGGCAGATCCAATGATCGACAATATGAGAAGGTTGCCGGTGGAGATCGCACTAGACATCATGTCAATAACTCTTAAAGGGTATTCTGAGTCCTTTGTTGAAAGATCAAAAAGGTAATTCATCAACACCCATGGATACAACAATGCTCCAGTGAAACACCTCGACTGGTATCCAGAGCTCATGTGTCTGAATTTGTTCTATATACCGTTAAATGAGTATCAAGAAATGTCAAAGGAAATTTATTGTATGCTGAGGCATATGGTGCGTTTGAATTACATAGGGTTTATCTTTCATAAACCCACACTAAGATGATGTCTCCAACAATGGATTCTCTTTCCAAATAACATCAATCTCTTTGGAAGATGGCTCCTCGAACATGCCCAGATCGGCGGATGGCTTGGGCTCGTGATGGATCCAAATACTCTAAACTATATGGCCATTACGCTTCACATGAAACAGAGAAATTCAGGTCGTCTAAGAGGGGTTTGAACTGGTGGAAACTCAATGGGCCGTACTGGAAGGGAGCTCGAATGAGAATCCAACAATCGAGTCGTCTAGGGTGACCGGATACTGGATGATTCTGAAAGAAAAAGTTCGTGATCTGAATCACCTCTTGCCACATCAAATCCCAGCAGTGCTCATGTCCCCAGAAGGTTATCACTATGATGGAAGAATCAAGGAGTGTTAATTACCAACACTCGCCATGACAAACAACTTAATAGAACAAAACAATTATGGTCTGAGGCGAGAGGCAACAACTCATGCCTATTTAATCGAACAAGCTTTCATTGAGGAAGTGCTCCTCCCGGAGCCAGCGCTCCCCCATCTGTGAGAAGAGAAGAAGTCGTTGGGAGGTCGACCTATGGAAGAAAGGTCGACACTTTTGGAATTTTTTT